GATGGACTTGCTTAATTATGTACCCCCAATATACCACAGTTATTTGAAAAATTTGAAACAAAACACGATTTCCAAGGACTTAATCACTCCTATTGATGACGAAAATTAAATTGAACTGACGTGTATTTTCATATAAATTACTTATATTTATGTTTCAAAATGTACTAATTATTTTTGTATTTTATGAATATTAAAATAAAAAATACTTAAATCAAACCTTTATATTAAATATGTTCATGGTATAAATGATTATTATATATGTAATTTATTCAACAATTTTAGTAAATCACTGCCCCTTCAAAACATCACTTCAATAAAATACGTCGGACAAAATTAATATATGTCAGTCATTTTTCTAAACTATTTATTTTGAAAGTGGCTCAAGTCACTTTACCGTAATGAAAAGTGGTGATTTTTTAATGTTTATACGAAATTATTTATACTGAGAAAAATACCAGTATCCTCAGATAACAAATACAAGTAAATCTTCTCGAAAGTTAGCATCCATATTTTGAAACGTGTTAAAACGCACAAACCCTTAAATATATCGACTTCAAAACAAAGTGACTTTTATGCCGCTTTCAAAATAAACGGCTCAATTGTCCGACCACAAGGCCCCGAATAATCTCGCTCCTAAGCGATACACCGATTAATCCGTTCCGAGAACCAGTCTCGACGCGAGTTCCGAAAATCATGGTCCAAGGAGCAGACGTCAACAGAGAGTAGTCGACCGTCGACTTTCGATTTCCTGCGTAGGACCGAAGTCGGGCCACGTGCTCCGATCTCGAACGTTAGTTGACTCACGGCTGGAAAAGGTGCAGTGTGTCAGTGAGATCGGCGTGAACCGAGCACGTAGTCGAAGCTCAAGGTGAACACGCAGATTGGCTGCGTGTCTCCTCGAGGAGCGTCGAGTGAAAGCCGCTGGATGCTGCAGAAGAACCGCGCGTCGTGCCGTCGTCGGCCGGTTTCGATGTTATTTTGATGGATCGCGAGAGAACTTCCGCCGGATACGGCTGCAGATTCGTTCGAATGAAGTTAAAACGATGAATCAGACCGAAGGAAGCGCGGCTCGGTTTCTGGATAACCGTACGTCGCGATTAGCTCTAAATCGTGTGCGATAACAGCGCGAGTTAGAAAGCTGTGGACACGCGTTCGGAACAGTTTGTTTTGGTGAGTGTGCTCTCTGCTCAGTGACATCGAAAGGTTTTAATTAGATCTTCAAAGAAGTGCCGTGTGGTGTGCCGAGAAGTAGGGCTTCGGGTTCCGACGGCTGCTAGGTTTAATTGGCTCACGGACTTTTGACGTGTTTATCGGAGAACGAAGGTTGGGTTTCTGCAATTTCGTATATGTACTTAGAAGACACATCTGTATGCGAGACTCGTGTAGTTTTGCTGATTAGCTCTAACGGCAGAGTTAATTACTACAGTATTTGTATTTTTTTTTTTTTTTAAATAAATCGAGTACTTATTCTTTGCTTCTTGGAAATTGGAATATCGAAAACGAAATATTATTGACGAGATGTACAGAATTTTTATAATTTAAATATTTTTTCAATTTAAAATCTATGATTGTTCGAACGTCGATTGTAAATGAAACTTTCCATCTGCTACTGAATAAACATGCGTTGCATTAAATTTCAACATCCCCTTCAATGTTACGGCCGAAATTTGCTGCCCACCTCGTTGACGAGAAATGCGGTTCTTTTTCAATTCAATTGAATAATAGAATAGACTTTATTAAATTAAATTATGAAATCACTATCAATTTTGCTGAATTTTCTTTAAACTCAATCGAATAATAAAATAGCATTTATTGAATTACATTATAAAAGTCGCTATAAATTTTTCTGAATTGTACTTAAACTCAGTGGAATAATAAAATAGCATTTATCGAATTAAATTATAAAATCGCTATAAATTTTTCTGAATTGTACTTAAACTCAGTGGAATAATAAAATAGCATTTATCGAATTAAATTATAAAATCGCTATACATTTTTCTGAATTTTCTTTAAACTCGATCGAATAATAAAATAGCATTTATCGAATTAAATTATAAAAATCGCTATCAATTTTGCTGAATTTTCTTTAAACTCAGTCGAATAATAAAATAGCATTTATCGAATTAAATTATAAAAATCGCCATAAATTTTTCAAAATTTTCTTTAAACTCAGTCGAATATATATAATAGAATAGCATTTCAACTTTGCGCTTCAAATTTGACACCGTGTCGATCGAAACTGCTGTCCAAAAATAGTAAAAGAATTGACTGAAATCGTGACGTAGAGATTGCATATTACACGTACTTCGAAGATATTAATTTAACGCGCGAAATATTTTTCCGACCGGTCGATGGAAAACGAAACTGGGAAGCGCAACAAGCGTAACCGAACACGCGATTTCTGCGAAGGGTAATGCAGTCATTGCGAACAATGAGCATTCCGATGCCGGCGGACAGACGACACTGTTAAACGAGCTGCTGCAGGTGTAGTCACGTGAACGTGTGTCGTATATGTATGGATACGATTGTTCATCATGAATCCGCCGCGCCGACGGGCGGCACACGTAATCCGATCACGTTACGGTCCGCTTACGCAAAATTATTTCGGGCAAACGTCACAGAATTTTGACCGTTCGTTTTCTCGCCTTCTAGTACGGTACAGTTACGGCGGAAAGTGTTACGAACGGTCGCGTTCATTAGAACAATGTCTGGCCTTGTTACGCATCAGCGAGCATTAACGAAGGAAATCGTGTATGTATAATACTTTCAGCGCTCCCAGACGTTCGTGATAGTATAAGCGGCAATCTATTTACTAATTGGATACTGCGCTTCATAATTGGTCGCATAAAATATTCGACAGTTGACTCATTAGAACAGGAGCAGAGCTGAGAAAATTCTTGCGAGATTCATATTTCAGGGCTGAGAAATATTTAAGGTAGAGAAGTGCCTATTATGGAACGTTTTCTAGGGGATCTAAGATTATCATCGGTTTTAATACGATTGAAAAGTATTGTTGCTGAGTATTTATACAGGGTTCCCCGGAAAGAATCATCCGATTTCAAAAATTTATATTTTAAAAAATTACACACAGAAAATTATAATTCAAACACGAATATAACGGGAAAATGCGTGAGTTTTTGTTTACAAGTGTTCAATATGACTTCCTTTCGTTACACGTATGATATCATTGCGATATGAAAGTTCTTGCCAAACACGGTGTAATGTATCTCTGGTAATTGTTTGTACAGCATCACAAATGCGTTTTTTCAGTTCATTTACACTTGTAGGTAAAGGTGGTACAAAGACAAGATCCTTCACAGATCCCCAAAAGAAGAAGTCGTATGGGGTTAGGTCGGGTGATCTCGGAGGTTAACTGTGTAGAACCATATTATCGGATGAACTGCGACCAATCCAACGATTTGGTACATGAGAAAAAAATAATAAAAAGTAAAACTCGCACATTTTCCCGTTATATTCGTGTTCGAATTATGATTTTCTGTGTGTAATTTTTTAAAATATAAATTTTTGAAATCGGATGATTCTTTCCGGGGAACCCTGTATATCGATGGACTGATGTTTCTAGACAACGTAATGAACGAACTGAGATATTTGAAAACCTGTCGGTGCATTGGCGAAAAAGTAATAAAGTCGCCTTCCAATCTTCACTTTTATTCTTTTCTACGTTGCCAAATACATTTTTGCAACTGCATTAGAATTTGTTGTCTGCTTACGCAGAAATCTCTTTCTCATAAATCTTATTAACCCTTTGCACTCGAGTGGTGGCTCTGAAGCGACGCTAAAATTTGCTGCACCATTTTCAGAAAGAATTTTCACATTATTAAATTTGTCTGTATTCGATAAATCGTCGGATAATAGATAATAGAGGATAACAGAGGTCTTCTATGAGCATACACGTTCAATTTTTGTATGTACCAAATAAAAACAATCGTACAAAATGGAAATATTGAAGTGCAAAGGGTTAATAGACTGCGGATGGTTATGCAAAATTTATATGCCGAAATATGCGCAATATATCCAAAATTAATGCAGAGTATATTCAGAGTATACATATATATGAAATACATACGCAGAAAATATGAAAATGATATGCAAATTGTGTTATTAACTGCACTACTTACTCCTTACTATGTACTGCTTACTACTTACTATGTTTCTGTTTGAAGCTTCGTTTACGAGAGAAAATCGATTACGAGACATTTTTGGGACACCCTGTATATTTGATTGACTAGATTCTAACATATTGGGGAACATTGCTAGATGCGGCAGTTGTTTACGCAAGACATACACATGCTATCAAACAAGTAGCTTTTTCCTTAGCGAAAATGCAATACGTGGCTTTGTTCATGAGTTATTACAGTGACCAATGAGAGACGAGATCAGCTGGCGCGAGGCGGCCGAGTCAACGGGCGCGCGAAGTCCAGTCACGCTCATTGGCTCGGCCGCCTCACGCCAGTTGATCTCGCCTCTCATTGGTCACTGTTTTTCGTTAATAACTCGTAAGCAAAGCCGCGGACTGAATTTTCGCTAAGGAAAAAGTTACTTCAAATGATCTCAGGATTTCTGGATTGCGAGGCATTTTTGGAACATTCAGTATACGAAATACAGTAATGGGACCTACACCTGCACGCTTTTCTTATTCCCTAAGCTGACGTGCACATCCCCACCATTTAATTGCATATCCAATCCGCAGTGGATCCTGTCTCATCAGTGAATCGTCAACCAATTAGAGCAAAGAAAATTTCTATATCGACCCTCGCTAACGGGGTGTGAGTGACCTTGGGGTGTGCAGGAGTAGGATCCATTACTGTATGCAGAAATAAAACAGATATATGGAAAAATATGCAATATACAAAACGTATGTAGTATGCAAGATATGCAAAAAGAAGTTATATTTTTAGAATCCTCTAATGATTAAACAAACTTTCCAATAAATGATTTCCAAACTTTTCCATAAATTTATCTCTATTCTATAAACATATGCATTTGCATAAACATCCGCAGCGAGAGAGAGAGAGAGAGAGAGAGAGAGAGAGAGAGTGAGAGAGAGAGAGAGAGAGAGAGTTTACTTATTATAAAATAAGATAAAATTAGAATACTTAAGCACACATGTATTTACATTCCTCCTCTTATTAGCTGCGGCAGTGGGACAGCTAGTAACAGGAGGAATGTAAACACGAAGGTGCCTTCTTGTCGCATAAGAACTAGAGTAAATTCTCAGTAATCGACTCTCACAGCTTCTACACAGAAATGGATAATTTAGGAAGAGGTGACGGCACGCTTTTATAGTTACCGATTGTTAACAACTATAAAAACGAATAATCGTATCTCCAATTCAAGCTGTGGGTCAATTAGGAGGAATTTACTGTACTTATTATTATTCAGAGAGTATAACATTATCATCGATTTTATGACGATTAAAATTGTTATTATTGAATATTTATACTATTGTTCGATGAATTGATATTTCTAGATAACATAATGGAGACATTGGAATATTTATTTAAAATTAATAAAAAATAGTACAAATAAAATAGTAAAGCACGCGAGCATGCACCTATTTCTCCCTCCGCAAACAAAACATTCATATGTATTCTAAATTACAAGCATCGACTCGAATCGTCTATTGAGTGCAAAATATGTTTTCCATTGTTGTATCATTTAATTTATTTAGAAAGGGTTTGTGAATGAATTACTAATTTTCTCTTTTATTCTTCCATATTTGTTAATTAACTTTCTAACTATTAATTAATTAACTTTCGCATACAGTTTTCCCGAGCACCTCCGTTAATCTGACAAAAAATGTTTCGAACAATAGTTTATCGGTTCCTTGTCTCGGCTACAAGGTAAAATATTAAATTTTTAAATCTTTTCAATAAAAAATCGAGGCCGGTTTGATTTTCTTAAATGGCATTGCATATTCTATCGTGATCATAGCGGGATACGTTACAATTTAGCTTGTGGGAATATTTACTGATAATATATTTAATGCATGATTATAATACAATAAGTGAACATTCGTTACAATGCAAATATAAAGAGCATTATCTCCACTTCTAAAATATATGCACTAAAATATATACTTCTATAATAATGTACTTCATAATGTGCATTACAGCACAAAGGATTTCGTATATGTAGAAAGCACCTGGTAGATATTCAAGAAAAAGAAGCGATGCGCATCACGGAATGCAATAAATCGTCATATAATCTCTTTTCTCTTGTTGGTTTATTGAATGGAGAAACGAACATTTCACCTGGATCTCCGAAGCTAGCAATCTCCATAAACACCGTGGGTCCAGCAATAATTTTAATCTCAACGATCATGACTGATCTCATCAAGTAACAGAAAAAATGACCGCACGTTGCACTCGATCTTCGACGCGATGCGACGCGACACAGCGAAGTATGTATTACATTCACAATCTCGCGATCCTTCTCGTGTGCAGGAAAAAAAGAATAAGAATGCGAGGTTTATTAGAGGCATTCTTGATCTAACGGATTCCAGCCGGCCGTAATACCTGTCGAAAGTGGACATATAACCTTCGGATTGCCGTATCGGAATTTTCAAAACCTCGCAGCAGTGTATCCCCGAGCAAGGAAACTTCGGCCTTGACGAATTTTTTCGCTTATCTCGAGGATCGCGAGCAGAGATTATGCAACACGAATATGCTTTTAACACACCTGAAGTGACTATACTGTTTATGCGTTTTTAAACGTCTCGCGTACCAGATGTGTAAGTTGATACAAGAGGTGGGTTACGTTGAGGCTTGCTTAAAAATTCGTTTTTTTTATAGCGTCTGATAAATATAATATTATAATGTGGTATAGATTGACAAGATTTTATTGTTACAGTTAAATATTGTTATACATTTCTAACAGCGCTAGAACTATTAAGCAGATCAGTATGACACTACATGCAATGACGAACTAAAAATTTGTAAGGAAATATCTGCGTTGTTACTCATTTCTGTGAAATATAAGTATGATCACTGTCACAAGTTTGTGGAAACATGCTAAAAATATGTACAATGTTTCATGGTTGGTGATTTCATCGGCGCTTTATTCGAACAAAAAGATACTACTTCGAGATTCGTTTCACTGTGTTCGTTTCCGCGAATAGAAACTGTTATGAATCACGATAATCTTTGACAACGTAACACGACTTCTACGATCTAATAATTTCCCAATAATTCTTTAGTTTTTTCTATTGCTACAAAAATCTAAAGCTACGTAAGGTTACTAGAGATAGGATTATGTATATTACAAGCAGAGTCGAATTTCTATGAGGTATAGCCTCGAATCTTTTATAAGTATTTCGTCAGAAATAGACAATACCTTCAAATATGCTCGAATCTCTACGAGATTGGTTCGAACTACAAATCCTTATTTAACGTGTATTTAAGTACACGTGTACACATGTAATTAACAGCTCCGAACTTCAACCCGTGTAATTCTTAATACACAGGTACCCGTATATTTTTATATTACATTTGTATTTCTATATTACACGTGTACTTCTATATTATACTTGTATTTCTATATTACACGTGTATTTCTATATTACACGTGTATTTCTATATTACATGTGTACCTCTATAATTACACTTGTATTTCTATATTACATGTGTATGTCTATATTACCCGTGGAAGGAACTTCTGTGTAATCAAGCATTTTTCTATTGTTACATAATGTTATAACAAAATTATAATATTATAATATTATTGAAAAAAGTTCGAAATCTTCTCAATACATTCGTAATACTTTTATGAAAATATATTGAAAAATGTAAAAGTTTTTAATTTCCATTTGAGCATGATTCTCCATCTGCTTTAATTTTATAAGGCGTTCGAATATTTCTGTGGCGTGAAAGATCGATGTTCTTTTATATTTGTTAAATTATGTAGGTAATGTTTCGTATCGAAAGTTAATATATCATAAACGATTTTTCCCCTCAATGTATATTTATTTAAATATATGATGTAGAAGTCAAAGTTATATACTAGCGTCCGAATACTTTTGCGACTAACTGTACATATCGTCCCCATTTCAAAAGATTACCGCAAGAACCATAATTGCGAGATTCTTCAATCCACATTTTTCAATTACCTCGATTGATCTCTACCTTAATTGCCAGCAACTTTCACGGAACTTTCGACAAATCGTTCCATTAAAATTAATCCGAGGAAGTCGCCGAACTTCTCAGCTCTGTCCCAAGTCGTGATTGCGTAATCCCGGTTTTGAACCAACCGATCAGCACGCGATCGAGATCATTAACTCGATTCCCATTGCGGCGTCGCCCTTCTAATTATAAACAACGCAGCTGCCCGCAGGCGCTCGCGGGACGATAAGTCGCGCAGCTTATCAAACACGCGATCGTAAACATTCGCGAGATCAAATATCGGTCGTCCGTCAAGTTCGCGCAGCGTTATCGCGAAAAAAATCGGCAACAGTATTTCCGATTTCTTGTGTACATTGGATCGGCGACGATACTAAAGACGTGGGAACCGAGCACCTCTGACACAGTCGATTCTTTGATTTCAGCGCGATCAGACTGGGCGGCTCAGAAAGCTGAATGGAGACAACGGTCATCAAACGACGCCTGCAGATCATTGGACTGGTCTCGCTATGGCTGCTACACGCTGTATTGCCCGGTGCAGCTGCATCTTACAGCATCGGGGTAGGCAGGGCTGACACCACTGGGCCCACCGCCGAAGTCGTTTTTGTGAGTCCCTTACAATTTTCTTTTCATTGGCAACTGCTTTCTTATCCGATTCCGTCGAAGCTTTACTTGGTAATTCGCACAATTTGCAGACTGTAGAATACTTTTTTCAATTTGTTAGTCATATTATTATCTCTTATTAATTTCTTGTATTTCCATTGTCAATTGTTTCCTCATTTGATGTTATTGGATTTTCATTCGCTATTGGACATAGTTTGTAGACTAGAAAATATTTTTAATCTCTTGTTGCTCAAATTATTATCACCATTTTAGTTTCATTTGCTGTTTTAGTCAGATTATTATCTCTTATTAATTTCTTGTATTTCCATTGTCAATTGTTTCCTCATCTGATGTTATTGGATTTTCATTCGCTATTGGACATAGTTCGTAGACTAGAAAATATTTTTAATTTTTTGTTGCTCAAATTATTATCACCATTTTTGTTTCATTTGCTGTTAGTCAGATTATTATCTCTTATTAATTTCTTATATTTCCACTATTAGTTGTTGGATCTTCATCTGCTATTGGACATAGTTTGTAGACTAGAAAATATTTTTAATTTTTTGTTGCTCAAATTATTATCACCATTTTAGTTTCATTTGCTATGTTAGTTATTTTCTGTTTCGATTTTGTCGATGTCTTACTTGGTAATTGGCATAACTTGTAGACTGCAAAATATTTTTTAAAATTTGTTACTCAGATTATTGTCTCTTTAGAATTATTAATTTCAATTATACTCGTGATTATACAGATAAAATTAACTGGAAGGTTTGAATTATGTAATTGAATTAAAGTATAGTTCAAATACGTAATTGAATTACAATGGAATTGCATTAGCATAACTGTAAAGAATGTTGAATCTCACATATTAATTTTCTAATTTTTGTCATAAATGGATAATTTTCGTATCGTTAACAAATTGAAATCTTTGTGCTCGCAAGTTATTTTCTAATATTTCCGGATCCGACGTGATTTACAATGTAATCGAATATTATATTTGTACGATTCGACGGTGCAGTAAGATCAACTTCTTCGAAACGTCGGAACGTCAGAGACAGGGAAGATCTCGAAAGAATTGTTTGTTTTCCAGATGGGCTACGCGAAAATCGATCAAAAGGGATCTGGACTCCATCTGCGAACATTCTCTCGCGCGTTCATCATAGATGATGGCGAGGAGAGGTTCGTCTTCGTCAGCGTGGACAGCGCGATGATGGGAAATGGCGTTCGCGAGGCGGTAATCTTTTCGTTTTCTTTTTCTTTTTATCGCATCTCTGATTTCGCAGTTCGAAACAAACCACTCGTCACTTTCGATCTTTTCGCAATCTTGCTCTCAAAGTCAGATCTTTTAAGAATAAGGAATTAGTTTACCATTGTCATACTTATGTTAAGACTAATAGTTTTTATCACCCGTATATAAAAAGTAATATTGATAATAATAATTATTATTATCATTACTAATATTGCATTATTATCATATTATTATTAAGAATGACAATAAATTTCTGATATCCATTTCAACCAGTTCCTTATCGTGGAATGCGTTAATACTAATAATTAGAATAATAATTATTATGATAATAATAATTACAATATATTATAATTACTATAAGCATAAAAGTGACGACATTAAGAGTTTTATTACTCAATTTATTTACTACTGGTTAATAATATTATTATGATATTATGATAATTATAATGAGATATATGATTATATATAAAATAACACAAAATAATACTATAATAATATATATCATAATATTATTATAATAATGATTTCACATTATTTTCAAGCGAGGAGATGGGGGTATGAAAATTTGTTATCACAGTATAAAAATTAATTACTGCTAAAATACAAATGTTATAACAATTATAATAGTTATAGTAATTGTAATTATAGTTATAGCGACTATGA